TCATGTGCATCTCACGTCTTCGGAACGCGACCAGCCCTCCTCCCCTGTTTCTTGGAGGCCAGGCCATACCAAAGACTCCATCATTTCGATATTTGGGTGTCATACTCGACAGCAAGCTTTCATGGACCCCACACATTCAAGCGGTAACTACACGATGCTACCAGCGCCTCCGACTCATTCAGAAATTCTGTGGAGTGTATTGGGGCATACACCCATGCATAGCTCGCAAGCTGGTGATGGGTGCCGTCATGCCCCTTCTGTACTACGCAGCTCCGGTTTGGGCGAGTGCTACAAGCAAACGGTCCACACTTCGACCTCTCGAACGAGTCCTGCGGCTTTCAGCTCTTTTGATTACAGGCCTCATCAAGTCCACCTCGACTGACGCAGCCATCTTCCTCAGTGGTTTGCTGCTCCCAGAGCTGGAGATCAAAAGGCGCCTACTGGATTTTTGGCTTCGCATGCTTACTTTTGGTGTGGACATTCGTGAAGATTCAGGGGTTTCTTCAGTTAACTCGTTCTGCGCTCCGGACGACATTCTTCGTGCGGAACTTCATCGTCTCCAACAGCAGAGGGTATTCCCTGCGGACGTCTTTACTACACAGCCCAATGTGGAGAGACGGCTGCTCTGGCCTTTCCCACCCCATGATCATGCGCTGCAGGTGGAGGCCCACTTCCCAGACCGTGCCTCTGCTGCAGTTCTTCTTCGAACAGCACGTCAGCGGGCGTCAGACACTACGGCATGGATCAGTTCAGATGGATCGGTTACCGCAGAGGGGGCAGGCGCTGCAGCCATTATTACTACAGGGGCCCATCAGGGTTTCTTTGGCTTATCCAGTCGTTCAAAGGGAGTCCACTCAAGCACGCAGTTGGAGACCGAGGGGGTGCGGCTGGGACTGGAGGTTCTTCGCTGCACTCAAGGCAGGTGGAACATCACCACGTTGCACTTAATTTCAGACTCCCAAGCAGCCATTCTGGGATTGCTTTCGGGCCGCAACACCTCAGAGCTGGTGGTGGAAACCCGGCAGCTGCTCAAGGCCGCATCTCAGTGGATCCCGGTTATTCACTTCACATGGGTCCCTGGCCACTCGAACATCGCAGAGAATGAGGCTGCGGATGCAGCAGCCACGCAAGCAGCTGCGGGAATCGGTCATTTTACACAGCGACCCCTCCCACACTGTACATCTTTACTGAAAACACATTTGTTCAAACACTTCTGCCACCGCATGGACTCCTGCTGGACATCACTCTCTACGGGACAGGGACTTCGGGACTCCGGGTGGCACTTCCAGCCTTCCGTTCAGTGGACGAGACCTCTCTCTAGGAGCACTTCCTCCATCGTAGCTCAGTTCCTCGTGGACCATTTCCCCTGCCGCAGTTTCCTCTTCAAGAAAGCGCTTACACCACTGCCGACCTGTCGATTTTGCACCACGGAAATTGAAGATCGTCAGCACATTTTTTCAGTATGTCCTGCGTATGATCACATCAGAGCCCACTGCCAGGAGATGCTACATAACCAGCTGGAGGAAGTCGTTCCATGGGAGCTGTCAGCCGTGGTCCGAAGCAGCCTTCCCGTTCTGGCCACGTTCGTGCGGCGCATCAAAATCATTTGGGACAAACAGCAAGGGGGCACTTCATGGGGATGGCGAACATGACCTGGGTTGCATCCAATGCCTGGAATTGAATCCGAAACACTCGTTTCTTTTATTTTCTTCCCGGTTCTTTTCTTTTTCCAAAGTGTTCCTGTGTATCGACTTTGGACGAGGTGCAGCAGATTTTCTGGAGTGGGATTACTAGGGACAGTTGCGGACACCAATCGCCCTACATCGCATTCCTTGTGAATGGGCCCCGTCGTGGATTGTGCATAGGGACAAACACTTTGGCTGGATGTAATTGGAATTTCACACATACACACACACACACACACACACCTACCATTCCTGAAATTGAATCCAAAACACTCTTTTCTTTTCTTTTCTTTTCTGCTCTTTTCGTTTGCCAAAGAGTTCCTGTGCATCGACTTTGGACGAGACGCTACAGATTTTCTGGAGTGGGATTATTAGGGACGGTTGCGGACACCAATCGCCCTACATCGCATTTCTTGTGAATGGGCCCCGTCTTGGATTGTGCATAGGGACAAACACTTTGGCTGGATGTAATTGGAATTACACACACACACACACACACACACACACACACACACACACACACACACACACACACACACACACACACACACACACACACACACACACACACACACACACACACACACACACCTGTGGTTTTATGGGATTGTAACATCTTGACACACACACACACACACACACACCGTGTTCCGCACGTGACAAGACATTACGCTCACAAAGTATTGGTGTCCATCACCTCACTAATACAAGACCCGTTCGGCGACCCACTTGAAATGTGCCCTCGCTTCGCATAGTACTCAATGCCACCCTGATGGAGACTCAACCCAGAGTCAGCTCCCCTTTCTCGTACTCAACTCCCTCTCCATCGCACAGCGAACCGAAACTCACTTTATTAGGGTGGGCCGGGTGGGTGCGAAACAAGATAAGGGGGCGCCAAGGGTCACACCCAAAATAACCGCTCCCACTTGCCGCCAAACTTCACGCCAAACCCAAGGGCCAGCTTGACCGGTCCCCTTGTCTACGCCCAAGTTACAAGGTTCACCCAGTAACCCCTGGATCTGTCGGTCAGAGCTGACCCCAGGTACAGGGGTGTACGTAAACCGGCCGTTTGATGGCCCTGAAACGGCCCAGAGAGGCAGACCGGACCAGACTGGCCGGTGCGCGCCCACCCAACGTCGTCCTTGGCAGAAACTCATTAACAGGATAGTTAATTATATTTCTGTTTCGCTGAGGTTTGGCGGTATATAATAACACCGGGTCATGGATACTAATGTGGTTTCAAACCCCAAAGAAGAGGGTGGATACTAATAGGGGGTGGATACTAATACCGGGTAAATACGGTATGGGTTGATGCTAAGGAGGCGGTGGGGGTCAAGATTCGTGAATTGCATGCAATCGAGGCTACATCCCTCCTGTTACTCCCAACATGTGAGGGAGATATATGTGGCAAGCCCCTGGACAGATCAGTGCGCTCTCACATTGGGGAGGGTAGGGGCGGGGTAAGATTGAGAAACAGGACATACAAAGGGCACCCCCGCCTAGGCAAGTGTGGGGAGGAGGGTTTCTGGGCTTAACGTCAATTGACGCTAAGCGTGGCGAAATGGACACAGCGTCTTCCCTAAGAAGAACTCAAAACTGCACCTACAAGGCTCGCAAAATACAGAGCAGAAAGAGAAACAGAGCAGGTGACTGCGGCAGCGCTCTATTCTTGATGAGTGCTGTGGGTGATGCGACACAGCAACTGAAGGCGAATTAAACGCAAGGTAACGTTGTGATCCATAGGTAGTCTCAGCAAGTGTTTGGATGTAAAATTGGCAGAACACGCAACAGCGCTTTGAACAGAGACTAAACAACAAACGCAGGCCCACAGTGGTTATGGAAAGGCCATCCACCATGTGGGTGTGTGTGCAAGGACAACGCATACATCTTTGTCCCTTTTCTGGAATTGTCCCATATGGATTATTTCATTGTTGCCGCCATGCAGTGGAAGGAAAGGCCAACAACCAAAGTGGCTGTACTCATTCAATAGCTTGCATCGAATCCTCCAGAAAGTTATTAAATTCAGCAACGAACACAAGCAAGCATCCTCCCCAAGCCAATGTTGCTGTGCGTGACATCAGCCCTAAAGCATAGCAAAATATCGCAGCAAATCATCGTGCCTATCTCAAAATGTGTCAAAGTGCGCCGAAGCATATGAGCAAGAATCAGGACACACGTCGGCAGTGCACTTTAGCACGTCATCAAGCAAATGGCGCCCCCCAAAAAACTATCTTAAAACCAAGCACAATGCAACTGCAAGAGCCCACCGCCAACAGGACGCAAAAGCATAACACAAAAACTCATGCAAGTACCGTTGCGAGCAGAAGGCGATGCGGAAAAGGGGACAGTCGATTCTCAAGCAAGCAGGCTGCCACGCAGGGGCCAGGCATCTTCCTCTGAGTGTTGCCAGCACAATCAGAGCCAGCAACGCGCTGATGCTCAGCAGCAAATCTTTCCACACTCAACGTCTCAGCGCATCACCTCGCCAGATCCCGCTGCTGAAAACACGAACTCCCACTACATCCCCTCTGGAGCCAAAATTGTCGACTGAGTGGAGCCATCATCGCGTCGCTATTCATGTCCAGTCTCATAAATGAATGAATGGCTGTCGCCCATTCTCTCGATGGAAAGAGGACGGCATACGGGGGCCAGGTTCCCTTCGACCCATCTCCTGCCCTCCCTACGCTTTGCTCTCACTCAAAATGAAATCAAAATGCTTGCACCCCAATATGACTGGTACCTCACAGTGCAGGCTCTTGCCCCAACAGCACCTGGAAAGGAGCAAGCAATATCAGCATTGCATTGCACCATGCGCTTGGCCTTGTGCACATACGTGAATTCATTCTCCAAGTGTTTCACTGTGAATCGCCCAACGCCGGCCTGCATATTCGCAGCTCCGCCTGCACCCAGTCGGATCCCCGCAGGAACGCGAATCATTGGTAAGGACACAGTACCCTTTTGGCCAGACAATCCATCTTCAAAGGCAACGCCCTCCCTGACTCTCAACGATCTCAGAGACTGTACCCAATAGCCAGCTTAAAAGGAGCAAGACATCAAAAATCCCCTCTCCCCCTTTTACCACCACACCCATCCAATTCCCGCACACCAGAAAGCTGCCGGGCCATCCCGACCCGAGCCCAGATCAGCAAAATTGCGCCCTCAGCTCGCCAGAGTTGCCAATTTGGATTTGAAAGCCGACCATGCTGCCCCATCAGGGCACATTTCATCCATTCGGGCTCCTCTTCCTGAACAACCATATTTCTGTCCATCTTTGTGCCTGCAACTCGCACAAATTGCCGTATTGTATTACAAACATCAGTTGTGTGGCTTGTGCTCACAAAGGCACGCCATGTTGATGCCCATTGTGATGTCTGAGAAGTCCACCTCAGCCGTGTGCAGACCCACCGTCTGCGTGCAAGTCAAACAAACAAATGATTGAAGCGCACACCCGGGCGCAATACGGAACACACCACTCCCAGCGCGGGATGTGAATGTCATTCGTCTGAAAACAAATCTTTCAGGAAGCCCAGTGCAGCCGGTTAAAATACAGCGCTAACAGTATAAAGTACTACAAGCCCTGTACCACCCTCCTCCAGAATGGTGCTTGAACCTTACATGGCTATTAATGACGACCTCCAAGCAGAATACTCCAACAGTTATCCCGTTCCCAGGCAGGGATGCGTGGCTCTTGGGCATTGTGCATTTTCTGCCATTGCCAAGGATGTGCAATTTACGGGTCGTTCACTGCGCGACCACGCGGGCTCTTGTTGACCTCTCGAGCAGCGCACCATAAGGGCGACGTGAGGTGAACCCACCAAAGAAAAAACGACAGCCCTCATCTCCAGACATGAATGTCATGAACTTCATTTCGGGCATAGGGTCAGTCAGGCCACGAGTTCTCAGCCTTCGCACCCTTCATGACCTTCACATCCGGAAATGACTGATATCGGACAAGCCTCCAAATCCCCAAAAGGACACTACGATTTCAGCCACAATGCCACAACACTGATCGGACGCGGCGATGCGCAGGCAACGACGGTCACTCAAGTGACGGGCGGCAGGGCGACCACGACCCGAACTCCGTATCGGCACCAAATCACGAAGAAGGCACGGGCAGTCCGTCCCTGACCCCCCCAGCCACCCCCCGGTCACATGCGGCGCACGTGGCCGCCCCGCCCCGCCCGCCACAGCGACGCCATCCCGCTCCGCGATCACCGCCGCGTGAAAGCGGCGGCCAGGTCGGTCTGTCCCTGAGGCGTACCGCCGCGCGCTGGTCACATGTCCCGCACATGGCCCCCTTCCCGCCCGCCAGGGGGGTACCGTGCCACCCATGCCATCGCGCGATGATCGCGCAGCGCCACGCCGCCGCCGCGCGTCCCGGATTGCAGCGATCCGCCCGGCCACAGAATCGGCCCGGCAGCGCCGACAGCGCCAGGAGCGCGCAGCAGCCCCACGGGAACGCACCAGCCCGGTTTGCGCACGGCCACGGCACCGGGCGGTCGGGTACCGGCAATCCAGTCCCGGGATCGGTTGAGTTCAGGTTCAGGGACCGCGAGGAGGGGAGATGCGAGGGTGGATCGGGGGGAAGAGTGTTTGGGGGGCCGCACCTGGAAGCATGACTGCAGGCGCGTAACGGCCTGCTCGAAGGGCACGTCCCTGTCGTGCCACAGCAGCTCCACGACCGCCACGGCCTCCGGGCTGTCGCCGCTGTACACCGGCACGGCGAACATGGAGTGCAGGTTGCAGTCCGCGGCCTCGCGGTAGCGCAGGTACGCCGGCGGCTTCAGGGCCTGCAGGTCGCCGCAGAACTCGGGCTGCGCACAGGCGAGCCATCGGTCAACATCGGTCAACATCTCCGCCGGAAAGAAGCAGGGGATTGTGTTCGAAGGCGGGACCCGAAAAAGGATTTCCGGATCTGGATCGGGCTCACCTTTCCGCTGGCGAACACGCGGCCCACCACGCCCATGGTGTCGGGCGCCTGGGCGGAGAAGCGCCTGGAGCAGCTGAGGCAGCGGAACTGGGCCAGCAAGTCGCCCATGCCGTAGATGGACACCGGCAGACCCTGGGCCACACGTCGGTGAGCGGCGCGCGCGTCAGGGGGCCTCTGCGGCGCCCGGGGCGGGGCCGGTGCGGGCGGCGGCGGGCGATCGAATCTCAGGGCGCCGTCACCCCACCTTCGTCTCCAGATACACCGCCCCGCTGGCGTCAGTCCTCGGTCGCCATGCCTGCGGCGCCAGAAACGCGAAACGGGCGGCGTCACTGCGCAGTTCGCGCCACTCGCGCCGTCGGCCGCCGCTCAAGGCTTTCCCCCAATCGACCTACCCGCATCGGTGGTAGCCGTTCGGGGTGGAAGCGTCCAAGGGACGGGGGATCTACGGAGTATATTTCCAGTATCTGGAAAGGCCCACAGATCTGCCACGGCCCCCCGTGCCTGCCCCCCCCCCCTCCCCCCCCCCCGCCCCTCACCCACGAAATCCCCGCCGCCCGCGCCGGACGCCGCGCCCACCTGTATCAGCGTCCCCGTGTTGGCGTGCTTGTGTGCGTCCGAGTTGAATGCCATGAACGCCTCGGAGAACCGGCGGTCCAGCTCCCCGGCCCCCCCCTCGCCGTCGAAGCCCTCCGGCCCGGCCATCCACTCCGACAGCGTCGTGGCTGTGCGATCCGGTGCGCCCCCCGGGCGCGCCACGTTGTCCCCGCTTCCCACGAAATCCGCGCCCCGCGCTCTCCGGATGCCCGTCAGCCGCAACCACGTCGTACCACGGCCGGTGCCACCAGCAATCCGATCAATCTGCTTTGGATCGGACCCGCTTCCTCGCTTCTTCACCACCTCCGCCCGGCCCGGCCGGCCCCTGCGGTCCCCCTGAAGGACCAAGCCCGCTGGACGGCCCCCTGGGCGGCTCTGTCGTGGAGCGGAGTGCTCCGTGGCGCTCCGTGCGCCGCTGATGGGGTCACAGCGTAGATCCTGTGCGCGGCCCCGACTGCCGATTACTGTGCGGAGGGCAGAGTGAGGGACAAATCCAATGAGGCGGTAGGGGGGTGCTGGACCCCTTGATGGCACAAGGGGCGTTCGCGGGGGCGCCGCCACCTGCTGCGTTAGTCAAACTCTGACTCAAGGTGTTTACCCCCGCCCGCGACCTCACCCTTTTGGCCACCAAGGGTTGCATCCGGTTTGCTACCGGCCAGGGGGTACCCCCCCCCCCCGACGGTCGCTGAAGTTCGCAACGGAGCCGTGAGAAGTGGTGTCCTGCGGGTGGGCAGCGCGGAGTGCGCCCGGTACAAGCGGTGCCTAATTGGGTACAACACGTCGGGGGGCGCTCCTGGGAAAAGTCCGATTTGCGCCTCGCGGGGTCGCCGTCCCGCCCGACGCAGGGGGGAGGACATGTGGAGTACGCGGCAGGGGTGACGATTGGGATCGCCCCTTGGGACGCAAGTGCTCACGATCCTACCTCGCGTCTGCCCAAATGCGCAGGGAGTCGAACCACTGCGACCTTGACGAAAGGCTCTAAGACTTTGCGCTGTGGTGACATCAGCATGCCACAAGAAGAGTGGATGGCCTGGCCGTAAGCGGACGTCGCTGTTCGGTATCTGTCTGCAAATGCGTTGACCCCAGCTCGCTCGACGACCGCCACCGCCGCACGGCTGACGCAACGGCGAAGCAGTCAGCTACCTAGCACCGCCTGCGATCGCCATGGCGAAGGGCGTGTGCGCACTTTCTTGTTCATAGAATTCAGGTGTGCGCATTTTTGTGGAGCCGCAGCCAATGTCCCTTCTCAGCAAGACTGGCATTGGGTAACGCGACGATGAACTGCTTGGGCCCAAGGACATCTTGATGGCGGACACATAATTATTCGCCTGTCAGCCGCCTGGGATCGATTGACAAACGCGACGGAGGGAACGGTTCAAAGAAGTCTAGCCAGTTTTTCATGCATGCCCTTCGGGATTCAGACACAAAGCCCAGGCATTAACAACCAAAAGGCCTTGGCCACTTAGGCACGTACGATCCTAGGGATTCTGGACAACAACGCCGAAAGAAACCGCACAGGTCAGTACGCATCGTTCAAAGTCCATGAAAATCAAACGATGAGAACACCATTGAGTAAACAGCTGTTTATGTAGCCACATAATGACCACAGCTTCATTGGGTGCATCCATTCCCTTTTATGGCTAGCGAGCGCCCTCATTTCAAAGAGCGTCAGTTTTTTCATTGCATGGCCTGATCTAACCGCCACTGCAAAAGTCATTGAAAGTACTCGTGAACATTTTTGATATCATGCCTGTTTCTTTTGACCTAGCTTGGCTCATTGGATGCCATTTCTATCATGCTCAAGTTTGTATGTGCTAACATGAGTTTTATGCAACGGCGCTATGCAGTTGATAAGGAAATGCCTTGGTCAGGGTATTTTGTCTGCAGGTAGTCTGGAGGGGAAGTTGTGGCTGTGTTTTTTCCAGAGCTTTATAGGGACTTGACTTTCTTGTGTGTTTTGGTTTGCAAGCATGTTTAACGCCTGCAAATGACCATATGAATAATCGGATTAGTTGGAAATGCTGTGCTTTAGTGGTAGAGTGGTTTTGAAAGGCTGGGCTTCCCTCTTTGTATCTTGCCTCATCAGTGTGTTTTTGGTGATGGTAGAGAGATCGTGTTGTAATAGCCATATGTTAGACTGATTTCTGTATGAATGGAAGTTTGTGGCGTGTTTATACTTGGTTATGTGCTGAGCGGGCATGTGCTTGAGACGCCTTGATGGGTGTGCTTGATGAAGTGGATGCTAGGGTTACAAATAGGCAAGCCGATGGTTGTGAGACAGGAAGGAGTTTGGTCGCGTGTTTGGTGCCGCCACAGGCAGGGAAAGTTAAGTTCAAACTTGCAACTGGACTGGCATATATGCAAGCTCGAGTTCTTCTTGAGAGCCGCCTTATGAGGCCATGCGTGAGCGCCTCTTGGGCCGGCATCGAGTGTGTGGTGTGTCCGCGCCCCCTGTCAGCACTCTGAGGTAGCGGTTTGAGCCATCGCGCTCCACCGCCTGACCTTAACATCCACCGAGGTTTGAGTGTTTGTGACCTCGACTCATTGGTGCTGAAGCTAAACTGCTCACGCTATGGGCTGCGACCTATGTGTAAGGATCATGCATACAGAGAAACAACAACGTGCTTGCAATTTTACCAAGGATATCCCACTGCATTGTACCAACCTCTGAATTGGGCAGCGCAAGGTTGCGGCGCCACACATATTGGGACAGGCACCCAAGTAGCCATTATAACTTTGTGGGACGCCCCACCAGGTTTGTCGACGAAGACTGATGTGCTGAAAACTTCGTGCATTTGACGCACGAGATCCGTGCATGCCAGTGTTTCAAATCTAGTTTGAAATTGAAAGGTCATATGATTCTGTGCCCCCATTGATGCTTTCAAATTTTGGATACCATGGCCGACATCTCCGGTAACCTTCATACACATATTGCATCAACTTTGGTCGATACGCGGCTCAGCCCAAAAGAATGCCATTCTAACCTTCTACACCCTGGTGCATCAAGCTCAATGGAAAATCTGCCGCAGACAAACAACTGTCATCAAGACGATTCTATTGACATGATGGCACACACCCAGGGCATCCATGGCCTCTCTAGTCAGCAACGTTAAAAAGAATGCTGTCTTTGTTGTTTATTCATTTCAACAGGTCACATCCCCATTTGTTTGTAGAGCGCGATGGAAAACAACATAAAACACATCAGACATGAAAGCAGAGAAGAAATGACACCACAGTGGATGCTGCCGACCCTGAATCATTTTCACGTCGTTTCAACTTGCCAATGTGACATCTTTGCTCACAACAGTAGTTTTGGAGTCGGACACAACATGTCGACACTCTGCCACTTTTCTGATCTTTGAGCCACGGCATCCAGTCTTTGGGATCAAAATTGAATTCAGTGGGTGCCGCAGATGTGTGCACATTTGCCGGTGCGTCACACAAAATGAGCGGCTGTTGATAATGTTCAGGCTCCTCCGAAGTCGATGGCAAGGTCTTCAATGTTGCGCTGCTGCTTGACACGATCTCTATGGTCCCATGGTCTCACGCAGCAAACCCTGCTTGATCGTGCACATTGCTCCGATCTCCCCAAGCGGATAATCCTAGCAGGTCGTATTGCCGTCTTCAGGCAGGTTTTTGCATCTTCGCGTTGCGTTCCTTGCCCGCCGTTCCAGCAGCTTGGCGTGTGACACTCAGTACATTGCGCGTTTGAATGGTGCACAGCCTCCTCGCATTAATGTATTGCACGCTAGAGTGGTGTATGAGATAAGCGCATTGGCATACTCCCGTTGTGTCGATTGGGTGCACTGGCTTGTCTCCTCCCAACAGTTTCGTACGGTTCGCCATTTTGACAACGACAACGTATGGTTTCGACAACGTACGGTTCGCCATTTTGAATCACTGATGGTGGATTTCTGCATCCTGTCCAATGAATTCTGTACCCCACGGACGTCAGTTCATGCGACTGTCCAAGTCACCATAATTCTTGATAAAAATATATAATTGGTGACCCTGATAGAGGCATTCATACTGGGTCGCCCTGGGCAACGAATGAAAATGATTAGCTCATCCAGGTGGCAGCTTTGCCCCGTTGCCAAATTTAGCAAACATGCCTCAATTTCATGAGAGCAACTGATGGCTGGCTGCAAATTACAACTCACCATCGAAACGTTGGGTGTGTGGATCCCAATGGACTCGACGGCTTCATGTGGATGATGGTTCGGCGGTGTAATGGGTGGGACGAGTGGCAGAGAGAAGTTCACCTCGGTCACCTCGCCGACAAAGTGACCCAACGCAGGTGTGCAATAGTCCCCTATCCGATAGGATAGGAAGACGGCGAATTAGACGATTGAGCAATCCTCCAAACCGTCCAGAGGACCAGCCAGTCCTTCGGAGGACCAATCGTCACAACCCGCATACAGTTTGAGGGACAGGGTTCAGTCAGGCGGTAATCATGGAAGGTGACTCGTGCCCACCACCAGTGACGTTCCAATGTGGCTCGAGGCGTGGGTGTTGCGGAACCTTACACCCCTGGCAGGCTGTACCGCAGTACAATCAACCATTCCGCCACAAACAATTTACCGTCACGCTTTTTCCTCCGCTTTTTTTCAGAGCGTTATGTTTCCTACGTTGCTTCGCCAGAACTTCGTTGGAAGAATGTTATTCATATTATTGTTTTTTTCCGCATGAACAAAGCCAAGCGCTGCGTTTCCATGCGGAAGGGTTGAATATACTACGCTACAAGGAGTCTGTGTGACTTGGGGCAGACAGCATCCTTGCAAACTTGAGCCCGAATTTGTCTGATCTGCTAGTTCCTCGCACAATTTGCTCTTGTGCCCACTCGTCACAACAATAGTCTCCTATCCTATCGGATAGGAGACTATTGCACACCTGCGTTGGGTCACTTTGTCGGCGAGGTGACTGATTCGGGTGCCGCACCACACTGCGGTGGCGTGAAGATCGCTGCAGCTGAAGAGGTCAGACAGTGCATCGCTGTCACGAACGCTGACCTGTGATCTCTCTTGAGGCTGTCTTGGGTGCCGTCTCCCAAAGGCCGACAGCGCGGCAATCACTGGCCCTAAGCGGGACACGCATCCATCGCGCCAGCTTCTCGCATGTCAGCTTTGCAGACCTGGGGTGCATCGATTGTGCATGGCAGGCGCCTTGCATGTGCCTGGGTCGTGGATGTCCACGGCTGACGACCAAGTGACGGTGTCCTTGTCGGTCACAGCCGGAGCGGCATGTCCATCCCTCAGTACCACCAGCAGCGAGACGTGGCATAAGACGTAGGCGACATTGCTATGGGCGGGCTGTGTGAAGAGCATGCGCTGATGCGTGATAGGCGGGACATTGACGAATCGTGGAATAGTGGAAGATTGGCGATAGTCTGGTGCACCTTGGGAGGTAATGGACTGACGACTGATGCTGAGTTTGGTCTGTCGAGCAGCGTTTGGGGACTGTGGAGATCGTGCAGAGTCCGCGATCCAAAGGTGAGTGGGAATCGGCCCTCGTAGCTGTCGAATGTGCTATGGCAAGTACGGCGATACTTGCAACGACTACTACCTTAGTGCATGTTACGCTCCTCACAGCGTTGGCCCCACGCTGTTGGGGGTTACGCCTCAAATCGTGCGCTGGCTGTGTAGTCATGGAGGCGGAGTACGGCCTGGTCCCAATACTGAAATGGGTATGATTCTGCCTGTGGCGAGCCATACGCCAACCTCGGCAAGCTCGCTTCATCTACCCTGCTTTTGCGCCAATCCTGGACGTGTTCTCACCTTTCTTCTTTTGCTGAATTGATGCGACAAGGCCCCATATCACCGAATTAAACCCTCGCTTCTCTGGCGTCGGATGATGCGACCCAGAAGAGCAGTCATGGATGGAACATGCATCATTCATATCTCCAGCACTGGCCCGCATAAACGTGCCGCACATCATTGTTCGCAGCACCAAAATCTGAGAAATGCTACGGGCGAGGGGCACAGCCCCCCGCGGTCCACATGTGCAATTTCTAACAATTCTTAAGCATAAATTCCGACCCCCATGAAAGTCGCAACACTCCTAAACTACCCACGTTGCTAGTCGTATAGCACAGGGGACGCATGCATCACCGCACATCCCTACAGGGGGGAGGGGGAGACCCTAGCCACCCAAAGGGTTCAAACTCGCTTATTCACTTCCCAATGAACCAGTCCACACCTCGAGATGCAGAGACCACGCGACGCATTTGAGCATGGGTGGGTAAACTACAAGGATAAATTGCTCCCGCACTAGGCAATTAATGGACAATTAGTTGGGCCCGCGTTATGTGTACATGGAGCTCCAGCACGCGCCACTTGGCAAGGAGGCAAGGGGTTGGTGCTGACCCATGGTCCACCAGACCGCAGACCCCCGCTTATGCATCTGGCACGCCGCCGCCGGCACGCCGTCGCTCTCTGAATCCAAGGTCCGCAGAGGTCGTGGAGTGGTTTGCTTCCGCTGGCAACGCGAGTGGCCCGCCAGACGATGCGCCCCCTTGGCCCCTCGTGGCGCGCACTCAGCCCGCTGATCATGGAAAGTCAGGGTCACCCCGACGATCGCCTGGCATCCAGCCCCCCCTGGGCCTCTGGCCCTCCGTCGTCGTCCAACCGCAGGTCCGTCCAGGTGTGCGCCTTGGTCACGGCCACCCTCTCGTGGTGCACAGCCTCCAGCTTCGTGATCTTGGCCGCCATCTCTATGCCGTTCTCTCTGGACTTGTACAGCTCTTTTCGCAGCACGACGCATTCCTCCTTGAGCTGCGCCAGCTCCATCTTGGACCTCACGAGGTCGTGCATCACGCGGTCGATCTCCTCTACGACGTCGGGCTCCTGGTCTCCCGAGTACTGGCGCTCCATCTTGACCAGCAGCGTGTGGGCGGCTTCCTGCAGCCGCGCGTTCTTCGCGGACATCTCCTCGAGCGCCATCTCCAGGTCCTTCTTCTGTCGGACGAGGACCTCCCTGGAGGCACGGACGGGCAGCAAAAAAGCTCAGAGATGGGCCTACTTTCCGAAAGACCTGATGAGGCAACAACATGTCGGCGAGTATATATGCAGTGTCAGGGGCGAAGGGTCTGAGCCGAACCGATGCCGCGGCTGAGAGAAGGGGCCTAGTCCTGGCCGGCCAACGAATACACAAGTGTACCTCTGAACGCAATTCGAAAATACGACACACTGGTCATGTCACGTGTCTACTGAACGGCTCGCCAACTACACACTGAAAACTAGCGACACGGTCAGCAAGCATCTGTCTAGCGTGTGCACAGATCAGCTGATCCTCAACTTCCTTTTCCAGAAAGGGACAAAGATGCTCGCTTATGTGTTGCCATCTGCACTTGCATCAACCCCCATCTGCAGGCGCGAAAGTGCCTGTGCACCCACATGCATCGAAATGCACTTGGGCCAACTGCATCCATTGACGTTCTCTGAGCCACGGTCAAGCATTGTCAGCTGGATGGTCACAAACACAGGCAAGTGCAGGCCACCAGCGATCTCACTAGGCGAACCAAATAGTTAGATGACCCACACTGCGATTGGAACCCACCTCTCATCGGCCTCCCGCTTAGCCCGCTCAGCTTCGCGCTGGGCACGTTCACCTTCTTGCTTGGCCCTCTCGGCTTCCTGCTCAGCACGCTCGCTGGCCTCTTTCGTTTTTGCTTGAACAGAGGCCACGCGCTTCCTGAGCACTTCAGCTTCCCCTGTGTTGCCACCCCGTGCACCCTGCAGCAGGTTCCAAAGTATATTTAGACAAATTTCCTGCACCTCCACAATGAACAAGGAGGCACCCAGCCATAGGAAATGGCGATGGCAAGCACGTTCGCAACAGGACAACACAGCTGCTAAACAACAAATGAGTGACAGACTTCCATCTCAATGGCCCCGGGGAGACAAGCGCCATACTACATGCTCCAGAGATGCGAGCTGGCACCAACACCATCATTCTCTGTGGGAGCTGGCCACTGCACATTCGACTGCTCTTTTGCTTGGGTATACACCACACTGCTAATGACCATCGTGTGTGCAATAGGCACATTGACTGCCCAAATTCCATCCGTCGATCAGGTCAACCACAATTCCAGACAGTTGCAACAATTGGGAATGCCTGAAAACACAACCACCCACGCCAGCTAGTGTGAGCATCCAGAGAGGCACATACACTGTGCAACATATAGTGCCAGAACTGAAGTCCCGTATGAAGGAACATACCAGACACTTCTTTACAACAGTTGCAAATGGGCGACAGATTTGAGAAACAAATACACACAATGGAACAAACAGTTCTGGATGTGATAAGCACCTGACACCGCGTTTATGTTCCGCAACAGTGATGCGTGTGGAACTATGATCTTGGGACATTAAAACATTGGATCTTTCTGCATGCATCACTAACTGTTAGGTGAAAGACTTCGGTCCTTGCATATGCAGTGTAAACAATGTAATCCGTTGAATTCACAACGCCTTAGAAGTGCAAGGGCGCTGGCTTCGCCTAAAAACCAATCACAATTGATCAGCCCTGTGGCTTTTGTCGCAAGCCTCCATCTGAGCCTACCTCGTAAATCGCAAGTCCACGGGCTACACGGCCCTTGGGTGGTGCACCATCCTGCAGCCTGGCCCGTGCGACCTCAAGGTCTTCAAGCGTCTCGAGCTTCAGAGCCATAACACCCTCTAGCTTATTGTTGCTTATTAAAAGCGACTGCACCCTCGATGTCGCCTCCTCCAATGCTGCAGACCGAGCATCCAACTCCTCCCGCAGGCCATCCCTTTCCCTCTCAAGGTTACATACAAGCTTCCTCAGTCCGCTAGTCTCCCTCTCCACAATCGCAGCTCGGGCAGTTGCCTGGGCAGCCGTGGCAGAGGCAGCCTTAATCGCATCCACCTCAGCTTTGAGACTGACGTTCTGCGCCCTCAGATCGGTGATCTCCAGCGTGAGCTCATCAGTGGAAGACCGAAGGTGGGACAACTCTGTTTGAAGGCTATCATTGTCTTGGATCGTTGTCGCAGCGGCGGCCGTAACCTCCTCCTTGAGCCGCTGGTTATTCTCTTGATACATCGCATTCTCGTCCCTGAGGGCCTTGGCTTCATCTTGCAAATTGCCAAAGGCAGCCTCCAACTTGCTTAGGTCCCTGAGCCTAGCCCTGGCACTGGCGACCTCTGCCATCAACTCCTTGCGCTCCTCCTCAGCCTCCTGCACCAACTCTTCAAGATCCGTGACTTTGAACTGAGCTTCCCCCATCCTCTCAGTCAGCTGCCGATTCTGTTCCCGGAGCCATTGCTTTTCGCTTTCCAGCTCTGTGACTGCCGCCCTGGCGTTCTTGAGATCTTTGGCAAAATCTTGCTGCCCTTTGGCAGCAACCTTCAGCAAGAAATCAGATACAGGAGCCCATGTCAGTCTGGCAAGCTGAAGAGGACCTCCTGTGAAATTAACTGCAGAATGGGAGGCAGCAATACTACCAGAAGCACAGCAGCACAATCACCGTTTTTCGACAGGCGATGGACATAGATGACCTGCCAGCAACCCACTGCTAATTGAGCAATATTGCAAGCAACACAAAATGAATTCAAAGAAGAAGGCACCTGCAACGCTTCTGCTCCTTCTCTGAGGCGCTGCAGCTCTGAGCCAGCATCTGCACGGTCCTCTTTAGCATCGTCCCTTTCGAGCTTGAGTTGGACAACCTGGGGCAAACCACCAACCACAAACCTTGATAAGATATAGGGTGAGCGACCATAGCTCGCCAGGTTGGTTTGATGGTTTTGGCCAATGTGCACTCCTACAACTCCAACAACTTCTTCACTGTGAGCATAATACAACTGAACAGCCCCTGGGTACCTGTGCACCTTCCCACTCGCTCTGTCTCGCCCTTTTACTAGGAGAGCAGAAGTGTATCCTCCACCCCAACCCAAGGCCATCCCATGCTCTTGACAAAAAGCACACTCTGCCTCCTGACGTCCGCCACATCTTTCATCCCCGCATGCCACACACCAGCACACCACATCACAACTGCATTTTCAGCGCACATGGGGACCAGCCACTCCCATTAACCTCATACCTGCTTCTGAAGCTCCTGCACCTGGCTTCCCAGATCTTCCCTCTCCACCTCCAGCCTGCCCAGCTTTGACACGTTTTCACCTGCCTCGGCCTCCAGTTTCCGCACACGCTGCCCAAGTGTCTTGGTGACCTTGTCAACCTCGCCCTTGGCAGAGGTCAGACTATCATTCAGGCTGGCTTCCCTCTTGCGCAAGTTTGCATTCTCACTCTCAAGCTCAGCCACTATGCTGGACCACTTTTCCTCAAGGGCGGCAATTGCTGTGTCATGGTCGTCCTGCAGGTCTTCCTGGAGACTGGCAACCTTGCCCATAAGCCCCTGCCTGGACAGCTCCAACTCCTGCACTCTCTGCTGCGCCGCCCTTTTCTCGGATTTCACGGCTGCCAGCTCTTCTTCGAGTTGCTTTGTCCTGGCACTGCTGAGCTCAGAGCTCTCCTCCAACTCATGGACACGGCGATCAATAGCCACAAGCCTCTGCTCCAGAGCAGACTTCTCTTCATGCACCTCGTGCACCTTGCCTTCCGTCGCTGTCAGCTTTTCTGTGGCTTCGATCAGCTTGGCTTCAGATGCAGTCAGGCTGTGGCTTGTCTCAAGCAACCTGGCCTCAACTGCACCATACCCATCTCTTGCTTCCGACAGGTGTTGCTGTGCCAACTCGCACTCCTGCTCAGCTGCTGCCAACAGCTCCTTCAGCTCACGCTCACAGGCCTTTCCCTTCTCTTGACTTTCTTGCAAGCTGTCCTCGAGCATGGACACCTTGTCCCTGAGCTTGTTGGCAACGGTTTCCGAGTCACTCGCCTTTTCTTCAAGCTCTCTCTTCTGCGTCATCACAACAGCAAGCGCCTCATCGAGCATTCTGACTTTTTTCAATGTTTCTGAGGTCTGCTCCTTTCCATTTGCCTCAAGATCTGCACACATTGCCTCCATACGGACAGCCCTCTGGGTTGCCTCATTCATTTCAGCCAAAGTGTCGCCCATTTCACTCTCAAGCCGCTTCACAGTTTTGTCAGCAATAGCCAGCTCCGCGGTAACCTCACGCAGCCTTTCTTCCATCTTATTATAACTATCCACCCGCTCTGAAAGGTCCTGCTCCAATTCTCTCGCAGTGCGTTCTGCTGATGTGACGTCCTCCAGCAGCATCTCCTTTTCCCTTATCACCCTATTCATGTTAACGTCATTTTTGGCCACGTTCGCCTCCAGCTCTTCAATCCTGGACAGCGCTGTGGTCAGCTGGTCCTCCGACGCCCGGAGAGTCCGCTGGGTCTCCTGCACCCATTCCTCTGCCTTAGTCGCCTCCTGAATCCTTATGCTTAACTCCTTAGCTATCTCATCTTTCTCTTTCCTCGCTTCCAAGAGCTCATCCTCCCCATGCTTAGCTTCTGTCAATCGCGCTGATAGCGCACATCTCTCGGTCTCTACCTCTGCAAGGTGCTTCCTTGTGCTCAACAAGCCAGTGACAAGGGCCTGTTCCACCTCTCCTGGTGCAACCATGCCCGCTATGGTCTCCTCTGCTTCACCAAGAGCCTTTGCCAGCTGCTGCATGTCTGACAGCGTTCTGGACGGCTCCCCAGCTGCTCTCTTTGCCTCTGAGATCTCCTCCTCCAAAGCCTTCAATTCTGCTCTGAGATGCACAACCTCAGACACTTCTTTCTCCTTGGTCTCCAACCGTTCCTTGAGGTCGTCCCTTTCGTTTGTGAGTTCCATTAACCTGTTGTGAACATCCTTGTGCTGGTGCTCAAGAGACTGAATCGTCTTTTCGCTGACCTCCAGTTGCCGTTTGAGATCGTCCCTCTCAGCCTGCAAGCCCACAGTACTGCCCCAGCGTCAGGGTAAAAACCAGGGGGTGTTGTGTCACAAATCTCAGTTTACACAGAAGTTCTGTCCTGTGCAGGGCTTTCACACTTCATCTGTCACATGTCGAACAGCATAGCACCTCACAGGAGCCATTTCAAAAAGCAGCACAGATCTGTGCCAAAGCAGCTTCAAAGAAGGCTCAAAAAGGCAGGTCCCAGAGAATCAGGTGAATCCCTGAATCATGTTCAACTCTTTACCTGTGTCTGGTTTGGCATCTTTGGGATTGGAATGAATGCACACTGTGGATCATCAGTGCTTTGGACATGGAACTCCCAGTCACTACCCGATTCGCACGTCATGCCCTTGGTCATGCCTTTCTCTTTTGAGGCCTGAATACACCAATGACAGCAATGTTTTACACCTTCGGTAGCCCCTGGTACGGGCAGTTCCACACCTGCTCAAATGAGCTTCTGATGGCAGGTTCCGCACTGTCCATACCACCTCCTTGTTTCATCCAGAGACTAACAAAAAGTGAGCGATTATCACATTTTTAGGCATGTAATTTCCTGACCATTGTATGTCTGCCAGCCATGTCGACCTGCATATGCTTAACTCTGCAACTAGCAACGTCCACGCTGAACAAGCAACGAATAAGACGTGAACTGCAGACACTGCCCACTTGGGCAACATTCTGCAAGGCGTGTTGGAAGATCTGGTCTCTGTGAAACCAACAGAGCACATACACATCACAGGCGGGCCACGTTTGCTTCCAAAAGGCAACACTGCTGACTCACTTGCTAGTACTTCGTCCATGTCCTGTTGCTCAGTACAAATAAGAGCTGGACATTGTCCCATGGGAAGCCCAGGGTCATGGTTAACAACAACTGTACACACTCAAGAGCAATCAATCGTTTCAAAATTGACGTGAGGAGAGTTGTTTCTGCATGCAATTGTGCCAAAACTTGCAACAACGATGTTACCTCATCAGCCAGTCTCAAGCGCTCTGCCTCGGCCAACTTCTGCTCCCATGTCGCTCTCTCTGCCTCAAGCGCCTGAACCTGGTCCCGCAAATACTGTACTTCAGCATCCTCTTCCTCTTCTTCGCCACCACTATGGGCATCTGCTTGTGACTGTGGACACACACAAAGCAGGCTGCTCACCACATGTCCACAACAGATCGCTCTGCACCATTCTCATGGATAATGGACTTGGGCATTCAGAAGAGTGGCTACAGGTGTTTCCACTGCTGGGATTCCCATCTGTGCCTTCTGCAAAGTGCAAGCAAATTGTATAATAGACCAATAGACCAATGATATTCAGGCATGTTGGCAGTTGGGCAGCACCTGCATGTCTCTGTGATATAAACAAAACCAAATGGGATTCTCTGTCCTTCTTCTATGATCCCCAGTGGCAACACTTGCACTCTTTCTGTTGAGACTCTCATGGCACTTTAGCTGCTTCAGTGTGGTGAACCAAACTGGGAAGAAAAGAAAAAAGACAATAAGAAGAAAGAAAGAAAGAAAAACTTGGGCTTTGGATGCAAGCAGCTGTCCATTGTGGCGGCAACGATTGCCTTGTCATCACTTTCATTAGACAACCATTTCCACTTGTATCCGAATTCAGTGGATGCAGAACTTCATGGAGGTTAACGCTGGCAATATTGGCACTGCTAATGCCGCATTCTGCACCTGTCTCAATTCTTCCAGTTGGGCATGGAGCTCATCCTCATGCTCAACTGCAGTCTGGCAGGCAGCCCTCAGCTCGTCTTTCTCGGCCTGTGCCTTTGCCAACGCCTCCTTGAGATCGCTGACCTCAGTGACCAATTTGTCACATTCAAAAGACCAGTCACTATCAGGAGACCGCCGGGAATTGATTGAACATGACTGCAAGGAAAGCAACAGGTAGTCAGTCGGCATTGCAGAAAAAAGAACACTGGCAGGGATCCCTCATGATGCCAGTTTAGGAGATTACCCCCTACTACTCACCCTGCACCCCACCCACCCCACCCCACCCCACCCCACCCCAAAGTCGACAGACATTTCCACAAGGGCATCCCAACCGAAACTATTTTCCTTGTTGAAACCGGTATTCTAAGCACTGAACCACATCAGTGAATTGATTAGTGGGCCATGACAAAGCAGAGGGCACCAAAGGGCCTTGTCCACACAAAGGGAGTCCCAAAGGGTGCACCAGAAGCATTGCCAACGACTCATGGCGACACAAACGCAGAACCAAAGTGTGTGCCAGAAGCAACACCAACAGCTCATGGCATTATCTCCAGCAAGAATCATAACCACACTGTTGTCCGAGGCAGATATACGTGGAGCTATTCAGGGGATGTGATTCTGAGCCTTTGGACACAATTGAAGTCGAGGCCAAGGACCGCAGTGGTCAAAATTCCCTTTGGGATAAGCATCTAGACTCTTGTGGGGAGCAGCGTGTGCCGGGGCTACATATTCTCGCAGTTTCGCTGAACTGCAAGAGATTCGCCCTTCAAAATTTTTGCCACTGTGCAATGTTTCAGTTCAGTATGTCCCATGTACCGTGACCAGCGGCACACCAGTGGCAACCACAGCAAATGCCCAGGCTGCAGCTGAGAAGCAAGGGTGTAGCATAAAGTGGTTTCCCGAAACCATGCACTGGACCATTGGACTACACACTAAAGGTGCCCCGAAAACAATATGCCCCCAAAAGACACTGAAGTTCCTTTGGAGCTCACCTCTGCAGTCTGTGCAGTCATGCTGGTGTTGGATATTGTAGAGGGGGCCGACACAAGGTGCGGTTTCTGCTGCTGTCCAGTTGGGGTGAGGGGCCTGTCTGGCTCTGTCTGGAAGCCCGGACTCCTCTCAGCCGGGAACAATGGACTCCTCTCCCCAGGGTACACTGGGCTCCTTTCTGTCTGCAAATTTGGACTGCTCCTGTCGAAGGGCATGTCGCTTGGCTCAAAACCTGCAGAGGCAGTGCAAATGAACATCACATTCGTCACGGTCAAACAATAGCAGCGAGGTCTGCGTTCTTCACACCGCTACTGCACAAATCTCCACGGCACAAGACATGCTATCGGAAACAGCTTCAGGCGAACCTTATAGTGGGTGTTTGGAACACAGCATCCTAACAGTGCAGTTGCTGCCCTTGAACACATTGTGCTGCATAAAAGGCCTGCATCTCCTCTGCACAGCAAATGCTTGCTGTGCCTTAATTCATCCGCCACCTGGATGCGGCACATCTGCCATAGCATTGTCCAAAGTGACAAAACTCATGCCCTGGAACTTGGCTGCAGCCATCATGGCCCCACACATTGGCATTCAAGCTATGGAAAAGGTTGCACATGCTTCATGCTGAGCCGCATAAGCAAATAGACAGTTGTCATGAATGCATCTGGATGGAGGCACAAGGGATCTTGGGCAGTCCAACATATGTGGCAACACAGCTTCCGTGTTTCTCCACGCAAAAGAAGAAATAGCAAGACTGTTGTCACATCAATTTCATTGTGCTTTGACTTTTCTGAAGCTCCAATTTCAGGTGGATCAAAACATCCAAAAAACTGGCAAGGCCAGACCCTTTTCCTTAACAATCGCTGCTTCCCCTAGCCTTGAGCCAACAGCCTAGCCCCTGCGCGTGTCCTCAGCCCCTTCTGACCATCTGTGCTTACCATCTTTCTCCTTTCTAATACGCTCATTGGTCCCTTCTGCATAGGACGTTCGCCTTATTTACAAAGCACAGGCCATGACTGCCTTTCGCCAACTGGCCACTTCTTTCGACAATCATGGCTCACCTGCGAGGTCCTGCTCGGAAACATGTTGGTGGCTCGCAGTGCTGACTGCAGACACTGACGTCTCAGTCATCGCATCATCTGGCGTCAGTCCCCTCAGCAGTGTGCCAGTGATGCTGATCCTCAGCACGCCAGTGGGATGGCGGCTCCTACCAAACTCAAAACTGATGGGCATCTCCAGGATGTCAGGTTTGTCGGCGTGCAGGGAGGCGTAACGCGCCATATCCACTGTCGCCCGACCAATGGTCAACATCTTGCCATCCAAACCCTTGCCTGGAGTCTGAATCTTGAAGCTACAGACCTGTGGAGGGAGCCACGTCGATGACATTCATTCCTGTTCCAAGCTGTTTAATGGACAAAAGCCATCGTGGGTGCATCACAGACATCAGGCAGCATGTGACATCTTCCAGTCATAGTGTGCTGAGCAGGACTCCACATTGCACAGGCATGTCCAGCTCATTCAACTTGTATCAGCCACAACTGAGAAATAAAATAGGAATCCAGGCTACGACACATTCCCCACCAACAAATTCCACCAGTACACAACAGTGACGAAGGGAAAACATGGTGCAAATGGTGTCAGTAACATGGGTTATAATGCTGCAGTGTTTGAGTAACACCAGTCGGACTTACATTACTGAGCAGCATTTGAGCAAGTAGTAAACAAATCAGTGTGAACATACCAGGCAACTTTTGCTGCTCTTTGCATTCCTAAAGTGCTGTACCAGCACATATATGTAAGACAAGTTGCTGCATGCTGTGTGCATTCTTGAGCAATCACAGCTGCATTCAGGGAAGCAGCAACCAAATGAGCTACCTTTGGCTCCAATGTGTTTTGTGTAGCTTTGTACACGGTGGCTTCATGGGAGAGCATCTGATCGAACTTGGCAATACCTGGACAGCAAAAGCAGAACAAGGGATCAACTGCCATGTGGTGGACCGTTGTTCCAAGCATGTGTGATCGTTGGTCACAATTCTTGGGCAGCAGAGAAGAGGACGTTGGCACGTTGATTAGTTGAACTATGATGCAAGTTGATTATAAACGTCCGCTGAAACACATTCTGCCTGAAATACACTCACACTCTGCTCAGCAAATTACCACCAGTTCAATGTTGAACAAAGTCACGATCAACACAACTTTTCTATGGCATCTTTTCCCAAAGGCAAGGGCCTGCAGGCTGCCAGACAGCTGATGCTGTCCATTCATCTGAGCCCAATGGACACACATGCCAAGACCAGTGTGCCATTGATCGCATTGCTGGAATGGACAAACTCATTCACCCCCCACGGCAGAAAAAAATCCTCCTGTAATCTGCTGTTTCACTATTGGCCATTTTGTCCTCCACCTTCAAGGCCACTCACCATTAGCTACCATTGCCAACCTCGTCATCTGCACATCAGTTCCCCTGGACAGCACCAGTCGGCACTGCTTGACCGACTTCGATGGCACGCCCTGGAGGTCGAGGCAGTGCACATCGAATTTGTATATAACAGGGACCTTGCCATCCCTCCTCCTACTGTCATACCGCCGGGAGGACCTCCTGAACATGGTTGTCGCCCGCCTGACCTCCCCAATCCTGCGCACAGAGGAAGCATAGACTGACAATTTGAGGTGGACACATATGACCACATCCCAGTGATACCTCACAGCAAGAGGGCAGGAAATTGATGCGGATCAAATGGCGCTACGATCGGCAGCTGCTTTTCTGCCCTGTGTGAAGACCTTCTGGCAGAAGCAAACTGCAGCTGCAGTGTTGCTGTTGCAACTCGACATGACGGTGGATGGTTGGGTTGGGCACAAGTGGAGCTGCCATGCGTAGTGCACGGGCGTTCTCTTCTGCAGACGCTGGGACTAACCGCTACGTGCACATTCCAGGCCCTGGCTTTCCCTGCGTGGGGCTGTGATTGTGCGCGAGCGCGAAGCAGTCGCCTTCACCATGCCGCCCTCGCCTGCCCCAAGGTGGCAACAAACAATGTGCGACAGGCGAGCGCCCCAGCGCGAGGCAGACCACGGCCCGCTCGCCTTACGTCTGCGTGACCGCTGCCCATGGCCGCAGAGCCCGATGACTCAGTCGCAGCCGTCGGCGCCCGCGGCGTCGCAAACAGGGTCCGCCTCCGAGCCCAGCTGTACCGGGCTCCAGGGCCCCATCAGGGCCCTAGCGCCCGTACTGCCCACCCTTGGGAGCGATCTCCGCCCCCTTGACTGGGGCACTGGCCCAAGCGCTGGCGCGCGCCCAAACCGCCAGCAACCGCGCCCACGACCCAACCCCGCTCAACGTCTTGAAATTTCGGCCGACAGGCACCAGCCAACGTTCCCGAGCTGCAACGGGCCCCGTGCGCCCTCCCGCCTTTCAGGTACAGAATCGGTCCGCAGAAAACGAGGTGGGCCTCCTGTCAGACTGCGACAGGATTGAGCTCCAAAACTGTCAGCGCCCCCCCGAGGGACTATTTTGAGTTCGCCCGCCGCCGGCGCGGCGCTGAAGCGCGGCCAGGCGCCCGCACCGCTATGCTGCCGTCGGCGCCGGGGCGTTGCGCCCGAAAGGGGCGCCACCGCAACGCCGTAACCGCGCCAAGGGGCCCAGACCGCAGTGCATGACGTCGCCCACAGGGGAGGGGGGAGAGCGGGAATCACCCATCCCGGGCGAGATTCGATGATGATTGGGGCTCCCCGGGGTTCCCAGCGACCAGCGAAACGCACCACGGAGCGTGATGTTCGACCCGTTGGCTCCGCAGAGCATTTGGAAAGCATGGGGGGGGAGAGCAGGGGCCCCCGTTGGCGCGAACGGCGCCGAGGCCTGTAGCAAATTCGTTGGGTCGCCCACGGGCCTCGAGCGGCTCCCGTCTATGTAATGCAGTGTCCGTAATGACACCCGACGCCACTGAGGTACCGTACCTCCGCTAGGGGGCCCACCGCACGGGCGGGGCGGACGGGTGGACGCAAGGCCCGCTAGAAAAGGGCTCAAAGGGGGAGGGGGGGCGCCCAAGAAAGGAACGAGCAGCGCTTCGACCGTCTCTCCGGCGTTCCGAGGACGTCCTTGCGGCGATGCGCACCGGCAGGGGGCCCGGGCGAGCCTCAATCTTTTGAGCATTTGGACGTGGCACCAGATTTCGGCAACGACATGGCCTCCTCGAGACGCGTCCCCCCACGGGGTGCCACAACTGCACCACTCACGGCTCACTGCACCCGCGGATCGCGCGGCATCCGACCGCACAGCCGCGATTCTTGCGCCGCGCGTATGCGCCCAAACCGGCGGGCGAGCCGGGAATGGTCCGACGAGCGGGCACGGCGGGAGGGCCGCCGCGGCGGAGGGCGGCGAGAGGCGAGGCGCTGCGCTCACCTGGGGCGTCAGGCGCGGCTTCAACCCCCCTCCCTCCCCGTCGCTCCAGCTAGCGCAGCCCCCTGCGCGAAAGCCAGCCCTGTAGAGTTGCTCGATCAGCGCCATACATGGTCCTGTATGTCTCGTGCGCATGGCACCGGCGCCCGCCTGAGGGGGCCTTACTAAATGATGGGTGTCACGGCTGAAAGTGGTGGTCCCGGAGCGTGGTCACGTCAAAGGGGCCAATCGAGGAGCGGGTATCCGGACGATGCTGCTGGGCCCTTGGCAACCGAAACGGCGCGACCCAGGCGCCCACGGGCCGCGTGCGGATGCCAATGGATCGATTTCATTGCAGGACGCAAGCGACGTAA